GTATCGCCACTAAAATTTACGGTCCATTCCAAGCTGACGAAAATTACCTTTCCGGAAAATCTTTCTCTCGTAGATTTTGGTTTCAAGTCTATAGTAGGGGCGCGGACAAAATTAATGTTGTACATATTTCTACTTTTATCGGAAAAATGACAGTCGTGAGAAGTAGTCACACCATATGCGCGTAAGTTGACATTGAAGGCTATGAATATAAATAAATGAATAAATAAATAAGTAAATAAGTAAATAAATAAATAAATAAATAAATAAATAAATAAATAAACGTAGTAAACCAGGCACGCAGACGCAAGGCTTCATTTCCCCCCCTTTTTTAGACAAAGTGAACGTTACGGAATATGTTGCTGAATAGGCTTATTTACGGCGCGGTATTTCCGCATAAACACTGAATCGTCTGACGAAACGTCCGCAGTGAGAAGAGAGTCGTGCCGAGCGAAGCACCTGGTCCGGGTGGACGAGACGACGGAGGGCCGCTGCATGCCGTTGCACGAGTGCCTCGAGTCCCTGAAGGACGTGGGAAGACTCAAGTTCCCCTTGTTCTGCGGCGTGCGCGGCCTGCTGCCGATCGTGTGCTGCCCAAACAAGGATCCTCCTCCAATGCCGGTCCGTCGACCAGGTTTGTTTTCCGTAATGTGGCGCGCATGCTGACCAACAACGTCACTTAATGTACACGCAAACCTCGATATAACGAAGCCTAATGTAACGAAGTATCAGTTATAACAAAGTAAATTAGGAGTAGGCTTGCAATATAGACATAACGTTAGGAATATACCTTTATAACAAATTTTGGATATAGCGAACTTATTTGCGTGTCAGATGCCTTGCGGGCAGTAACAACCATCCAAATTTGCATACAAGTGACATTGGCTTCCGAGATCTCAGCCCTATGTCTCAAGTCGACTGTTCTAGTGAATGGGATACCTTCCTTTTTTCGCTTTTTTAGCTTATCTTGAACAAAAAATGGTGCCGTGTTTCTCACCGTTTTTTCAGCCGCTGTTTCACACACACACACACACACACACACGCACACGCACACGCATGCACGCACAAATACAAAAGCGTGACTGCTGAACTGCAGGTTGCGGCATCAAATCGTGGTCGCGGTATGTAGCATTTTCGGTGGAGGCGAAAATGCTAAACGCCCGTGTGCCTAGATTTAGGTTCACGGTATAGAACCCTGAGTTGTCGAAATTTCTAGAGCTCTTCACCGCGCTCCTCTCATAATCATGTCGTGATTTCGGGGATTCAACCCCAACAATGATGAAACTACGCGAGTTTATAGAAGCGCTATCTAACCGTCTAAGCATGTTTTCCAGCGAGAACTTATTACATTTACTCGCGAATATCATCATGTTATTTTCTGTGCTGCATCGGTTACTGAATAAATACCGTTATATTAGATCACAAGAGTTTAGTTTATTAATAGTTTTTTATTTTTTGTGCTATAACGTGTTTATCTGTATATCACAAAGCACAGCCGCTAATCAGCATTATGTTTCATAAAAAATATGCCTCTTCAAAGAAAAGCAGGTATCAGTGCTTTATACGTATTTCGGTACGCACGACAATGAATAGGTAAATATGAAACGCTCCGAAACAGTTACATATTGTTTCAATGAATGTTCCATTTGCCTGCAGCAACTCCTGCACCTTCTCCTCCACCGGTGCTCACCACGGGCCGTATTCAGCCAGTCATCAGAGAACCACCTGCAGGTATTGTGCGAACTGCTTATCTCCCTAAATATCATTGTAGGAAAGAAGCGTACGCTGAAGGGCTTGTTTTCTTTGTTAGACAAAATACTAATAAGGTATAAGCGACAATCACGCCAGGGAAAGTACAGGGCGTGTAATATGAGGTAAGTGTTATGTAAATGTGAAGAAAGGAAAGTGGATGAAAAGATAACTTGCCGTGGGCAGGGACCAAACCACTTTGCTTTCTTCACGTTTACATCACAATTCCTTGTATTAGCATTCCCTATACTTTCCTTGGCATAATTATCTGTTAGATCGCATTAATATTTTGTCTAACAAGTAAACCGGGCCCTTAAGTGTACATTTCTTTCCTTCATTTCATAGCGAGGGTCTCGTTCTTGCAGACTTGCTGCCTTCAAGTAGTATACGAAGGATTATTGGTCTGCTGCCAGCTCGTTATAAAAACACGTACTACGTGACGCCAAACAGGCAGTAAAAGAGTGTTTCACACTCGCCTTCATGGCTAAAGAAGAGGCTGACTGACAATCCCACGTTTAATTCTCATATATACCCAGTAGAAGTAGATGGTGGAAAGCCGCCATGGTAGATCACTGAACGCATTATTCGAAGGTTGCAAGTTTGGTTGCTCGTGTATATTTGTGTGTGTGCGCGCATGTGCATAGTCAAGTGTGTGTGATGTACAAACACGTGTGGTATCCACTGGTGTAACCAAGTGGGAAGGAGCATATGTGGGTTCACTAGCCTCCCCCCCCCGCCCTCCTTCCTTAAAATTTTTTTTCCATCTTGCAGGTGTAGATGTACACGCACACATGCAAACGCAGGCTTGAACGCACGTAAAGTATAATCGACACCCCCACCCACCCAAATATCCTTCGAAAAAAATCTGGCCACATCGACGTTATCGACTTAGCGCGTGATGGCAGGCGCCAACAGTATAGGCAATTTCACTGTTCACAATCACACACCCTTGATGACTTCCGGCTTCATCCGCCAATGTGCTGGAATACTATAGGTGTGCAAGAAGAGCGTTATAAAATAGCCCGCTGATTTTCTACACTTTCCTTCCATCCTTTGGCAATAATATTCAAACAAATGTTCTTTTGAACTACATAAAACTACAAGAGATCGCCTTGAACATCACGGATGTTTATTTTTTATCTGAAGAACTAATACAAGACTTTACTTGCTATTTAAAAAACGTGAAAACGACCTCTCAGTTTCCAAGTTACAAGTTGGTAAATATAATAACCGGAAGTATATTCTTTTTTTTTTTTGGGGGGGGGGGTGGGCACAACGCTTGCAATCTTGAAACCGTCTATACGAGTTCTATGGCTTACAATGCAGAACGTGAACCAGGACTAAAGCGAGTTTTCGCGTAGGTTTACCTGCTAAGTTTTCAGCATCTTCGTGCGTCAACGTTTGCCGAAACTTTCGCGCCGCAGGAACTCCGTGCACGGTGTCGGAGTCCGGGCAGCCGGGCACGTGCGTTCCCCTGGATAGTTGCGAGCCACTGCAGGAGCAGGTTCGCCGGAAGAAGTTCCCGTCGCTGTGCGACCTCAGGGAAGGCGTCGCGCACTGCCTGCTGCCCGCAAGCTCAGCCGCAGGTGTCCACCACGACCGCGAGACCCGCTCTGGAGAGAGCTGTAAAGATCGCCGGACTCAAGTACGAGAACGGGAAATGTACGTCTCGGCACGCCTGTGACTGGGATGCGTACATTGCAATGATTGCTCGGGGTTTCACGCCCCAGGGGCGGCTTATACATTGTCGAGAGTTTCTATTGAATGGGCGAGTTATTGATTCATTGTGTATAACACAGCGTGCGATCACACGCAAGAAGGTGACGTCGTAGAAGAAAAAGAAGCTTGCAACTAACCTGGAATGTCTCCTCAGCTGTGTTTTGAATACAAAGCAACAAAAATATTACCATGTTAGTCCATCTTTGTCTATTCAGATCCTTGGTTTTTAATTCGTCGTTATTGCTAGCAGGAAGCTTAGATGGTGTTACAGCTTGCTCGGAAGTTTGTTAATTCATATGAAGTTTTATTTTTAAACTAATGTCCCAGCCTGGCTTTAGTTTCACATTCCATTAGTTTAAGCATCCTGCAGCCCGGTTCTTGGCCCATCCCTCTTTGCGTGTGAGCGCCATTCATACGTGGTCATCGTCATCATCATCATCATAATCATCATCATCATCATCATCATCATCACCATCAAGCGGTAGAGGTACACGTGCTCCTGCGTAAGCACACCAATCGTTGCACTTTCACGGCTTGAGCTTGATTTGCTTGGTCCGGTTCCAGGGCAATCGTGGATACGTGCTAAAAGTCACTTGACACGACGATGTTTTGTTTAGGCTTGTACTTATCGTTTCCTGTATTTTAATATACAATACTGGCTCCGTGTCATATGCCGTCATGAACCAAACACGAGGACTCGTCCAAGCCTCTAATCTCCAGCTTGTTCCCCTCGTTCTGTTGTGTGGTGGAGTTTAAATAAAGTCCCCCTTTTCCGCCCTCTTTTCCCGAATAAATGTAAAGAAAGAGCTTGAAGAGATGAGCTAAAATATAATAAGATTCGGAAAAGAAAAGTAATCAAGGGTGGCATATACAGGATGACATTATTAATTAATTAATTAATTAATTTGGTATCTGAACACCCTGCAGAAGCGAACGAAAATAAAACAAGTGAAAGAAAACGTGCGATTGTTGATATAGAAATGTTACAAGGTACTTTTTTTTAGTCGATCTTCAACCGATAGAGATCAGTTATGGGACAGGAGCAGCATTGAGAAGGTTGTTCCGTACGACGCCTGTTTAATTAAGCGACGAAATAATGATAGCACAAGTTCGTACGAAAAGGTTGGGAAGCTACCTCTCGGCAATGACAGGTCCTGGCACATATGTAACAAATTATAACCTTTCTTTATATTTCATTTTCGCTTCGGCAAATTATTAACGTTTCATTAGCATGAACACACGATCGATCAACCGTATATTCTTATGGTATCGATGTCAGTTTTTCTTTATGTGTTAAAATTACGACGCTTAGAGGCTGCTACCTCGAAACCACTGAAGTTTGTAACTTAGAACACAAGTCAAAGCAACTGCAGTGAAGTACTGCAGCCTATTATAGAAAATATGGCATCGCCGATTCGAGGTTCTTTGTTTGTTTCCAGACTGTGGCAAGACTCCCAGTAAACCTGGTCACATCCACTTCAGACCAGTCGTGAAGGGAGGAAAAGGACGCCGAACTTGGTTCCTATCCGTTTATGGTGAGCAGTTATTGCAACTCAATGTTTCAAGATATGAACAACTACACTTCGTTTGCAGACCTAATTTGATAGCGGTAGAGGTGACGTTACTTCAATGAGCTTGTTGGATTGATTTCATTATTGAATACAGGAGAAAGGGAGAGTTGGGCTTTATATAGTTGGATTGCCTTCATATATATTGGAGCAGCGCAGAGACAAACAGCGAAGAAATACTGAAGACACAAGCGCTCGCGTTGTTTAGTCCTTCTCGTGCTTCGTCTATACGCTGTTCGAATATGAATTATTGAATGCTTTTTCTCCATGACAACGCTGGGTTATAGAAAACCGTACCAAACTCGCGCAACGAATTCAACCACCATGCACTCAAGATCGCGTCTTCATAGGCAAATCTCACGCTACTTTATAAGCGGCGTTATACCGGGACAGATAATTACAAATTTACAACGCATACTATTATCGTTAATGCAGCCAGGAGCACATTGGTGCAGCTACAAGATGAACACTACGCTGTGGATACTGAATAAGCCAAGAAAAAACTGTAAATATAGCAGCTGGAGCGGAATATATATTATTGAACGTTCGTGCGAAAGCATTATTTCAAAATTCAGCTGTTTGGGATGCTGTGTTGAAAGCAATGGAATGATTAAATTCCCATGAAGCGCCGCCCCTGGTAGCCTTTTTCTTGAACAGTGAAGTATATAGCTTAAAAAGGGGGTGTCTCAGACGGGCGTAGACAGAAACTTTTTTTTTTTTGGAGGGGGGAGGGGCGTCCCCCACGTTTGAAGGAGGGAGGGAGGCAGGCAAATTGTCAGTCCCTAGATTTTCTCCCTGTTCTTTTTTGATGTAAACTAGAAAATCTAGGAACTCTAAGCGAAGTTAGCGCGGAGCTATGCACAGATGCACCAGGGGTCGCTAGGCAGCGTGAGGTGACGTCACCGCTCCGCGAGCTTCTCACCCACGACGGACGGACTAACGCTCGCCTTCAACAGCTCCACTGTTGAAGACAAATAAATTCGTCTTTAACAACTCCTGCTAAGGACGCGGTTTGCATACAATAGGAGAGCTTGCCGTCATTGTAAATGCTCTGTGGTCCCAGTTTACTAGGCTTACTAGTTAGCACGAATTTAAACTGGAATAATACTACTCGCTACGTGGTGGCACCGATTGCTGTACCAGTACCACATTAAAGCATCGTTTATTTTCATGGGAAGCAGTTTACTCATGCCCTGTGTTTGCTCGGCTGCTCTCGTCCTACACAGGAAGCAAGAACGTGCTCTCGGTGAGAAACATCCTTATTCTACTGCGTGTTTACGTCACCATGTGCTTTGCGAAGCCACCTTGAAAGTCTCGTACGCGAAGCTTCAATGCGAGGGTGTCGCCGTCTCCTTTCGAGGTCACGCCGAGAGACGTCTGTAGAAAATGGCAGTTTTGGTGAAAAGAACAGAAATGAAGAAAAAAAAAAAACACCAGAAGTGAAATGACGTCGGGTTTCGCGCACACTTGTTTATCCCGCTTAAGTGCCGCGCACAAAGGCAGGGCTGCAGCCGCCTCTTTTGGCGGCGAAGAATTCTCCGAACAGCGAATAACCGACCAATTCACTCTACGCTGAGGCTGATTGCTCCCTAGAGCATTCGTATCCGCTGTCATTACTCTTTTTCGCTATATAAGCACTTTTATCCAGAAAGCTGGCTAGACAGAGGTATTCGCTTCTGTGTCGAGAAAAGTCGCAACTGTCCCACGCTGTTTTATAACAGGGTATTTTAGGTTGTAGCACAATTCCAGTTGTGCTGGTCCTACTTGCTCGCTCCCTGTTTACAACAATGGTGAAGAAGCCGTATTTCTGAAGCTGAGTGTTTTTCAGGGGAACAGTGATTGATTGATTGAGTGAGTGAGTGAGTGAGTAAAAACTTTATTGAACATGTCCGGCGTCATTAGCGGGGTGGGGCTACAAGCACCCCGGCCTAGGTGACGGCCTCAAGTCCTTGGACCCGGGCGGCATCCTGGGCTTGCCGGACGGCCCACAGTTTATCAGCAAGGTCGTGGCTGAGCAGAGCCGCCTCCCATCGCGCCTCGCGGTTCGAGACTGCCATGTCTACCGGGTTCGTAGGGGACTGCTGCGCGTTACCGGTACACTTCCACAGCATGTGCTGCAGCGTCGCTCTGGCTCCGCACGCCTTACACGCGTCGGACGTATAAATGCCTGGGTAGCAGAGGAGAAGGATCACCGGATTCGGGTACGTGTGTGTCTGTAGTTGTCTCCAGGCAATCTGCTGTTTCTTGTTTAGTTTGGCGTGGGGTGGTGGATATTTGCATCTGTTCAGTCTGTAGTGTTGCGTGATGTCTCTGTAAGTGGTCATGCGATCCCCCCACGTCCATTCCCGCATCGCTGTCGAAGTGTGCGAGACATCGGGACTGTCGGCAGGCGTCGCAGCTCGGCGTGTAAGTCCTCGAGCCGCGGCTTGGGCAGTCGCGTTGCCCGCAAGCGGAGGGTCCGTGTGGGCGGGGGTCCATACGAGGAAACTGTCGTTTTTGCGGCAGATGTTGCGTTCGTGAATTTGGAGAATGCGGGCCGCTTCGCGGGAGATCCGGCCGCTGGCGTAGTTGCGTATCGCCGCCTGCGAGTCGCCTATTATCACCTCGGCGTCCGTGGTGGCTATCGCGAGGGCTTGTGATGCGGGTTCTTGTTGCTGATTTGTTTCTCCCGGGCTGAGCCTCAGAGAGTTTTGTTAATAAGGACAAAGCCGTTCGGTTTCCAAGAAACACACAAAAAGTTTAATTGAAAAGAAAAAAAGGCAAAGATTCCTCACAAAACAAAACACTTAATAAACAGTTGACTGGACATGACGAAACACATCTGTAAACACCCAACAAAAACGTTCAAAGTCAGTAACTAAACCTAACGTTCGAAAGGGGCTGAGTGATGGGAGTAGCGCAAGAGTATCGGTGCAGTCTCACCCACAAGTTGGTTTTCGGCGGTGATGAGAAACCGGAACGCCGTGACTCCTGCGTCACTGCGTGGGCTGGACGAGGACGAGGGAACGCTGGCTGCTGGCGACACGTCGAAAAGCCCTACCAAATCGTGATGGTTTCGGCTTGAGGAGCGTGGACACGTCGGAGACGGGGGAACGCAGGCTGGTGGCGACGCGTCCGGGAACTAGGGTCGACCTAGTCAAGCAGCTGGGCGCACAGCTCGGGCCCGGAGCCCGACGGCTGTAGCTCGCCTGCCGGAACCGAAGTCCGCAGGCTCTGGAAAGGAGTTCAGGACCGGATGGCCACGGTCCTTTGGAGCGGGAACCCGACAGCAGGAGGCCCCGGCCGGTGGAAGTCCTGTAGGCTCGGGTCCGGAACCCAACGGCCCATCTTCAGCGCCCGGTCCGGTGACGACCTTCCGCTTGCACTGCCTGCCTCGAATTCCCCTTGCTCTGGTCTCCCCAGGCTCCTGCTTCAGCTCTGGCCCACTTGTCTCGTTCTCATTGGAGATACTACTGTTTCGTGGTGTCAAGCCATTGGGCCTTGAAATCTCCGTGTTCGCTGCCCATTGGATGTTTTACCTTTTGTTTACTTCACGTCCTGCCACGCATCCTCGTGCTTGACGCTCTTTAACGTCGTCATTCTTGTTTAAGCAGCACCGCACGTGCACTCTGGTATTTCTCCTTTTGTTTTTTTTTTTTTTTCGTGACGCGCACTTTTCGAAGGCGCGCACTTTGAACGCGCACCACACATCACATACGCCCCCCTTTTATTCAAGTTTTTTTTTTTAGAAAAAAAAACTGCCGATGAGTGCGCGTTCTGCACTACGTCACAATTAAACCACATATTTGCACCACGCAGTTCAACACATCACCGGGCTACAGTTCGCTACATCGTCCAAATGTCCACACTTAAACTTTAGATTCACCCAATTGCATTTAAAAGTTCTGAAACCCGGAATAAACCTTTTTACTACAAAAATCGACTATGGACAAAGCTACTTGTGTCCGCATCTAAAAGTCGAAGTCCAGAAAGAGCTACCGGTTTTCTAACCCTACACTCAGGTTATCGCGTCCCAAACCAGACGCACTGCCCTTCTCGCACGTTTCGAAAGTAACTGTGGCAAACATGCTTTTATGCACTTTCGCTGAAACGCGTGTCTGCGCCCCCGCCGGCCACATGAACGCTTACCGGTCACAGAGGAACAGGGCGCGGTCTCGAGCCGTCGGCGTCGACACGAAACGCACTGAGACACGAATGTCCAAATGCCACAATCTCTCACACAAATGCTTTCTTTTAATTCACCATCTAATGAACACAAGCTCGGGGTGCCCTCAGCAAGCCCAAACGCTCCGACAAGCGTGTGAGGTTCCTGGATTCTTGAGAAGGGATGCCGTTGTGCTCGGTCATTATACAGCTCATCTTGAGTGGACTTAATTATAGGTTCAAAACCAATCACGTTCTCAGGTTCAAGACCCTGTCTGGCATTCTCCATACCTACTATCGAGCCCACCTCCGATTCGATACTGTTTATTTTGAAGAGTGCTTCAGCACTCCCATCGTGTTTTCTCGGACAAATAGCAGTTACGCTATCCTGTGAACTAGAATCCCCTCTCTCTCTGAGTGAGATATATGTATGGTCTAGGACCATTGACGTGGTGCCTGCTGCTACCTCTGTCGGTACAAAACAATCAGTGGCCACTATATCAGAGCCTTCATGGCATTCGCTGCCATCTTCCCAATGACGTTCTAGCGCTCCTTCCATGGAGCTATTGAGAGGTAGCCCTACCCCTTCCCGAAATGTGCTCGGCCTCTGAGACGTTCTGATACACACCTCATTCTGAATGGAGCTTCTTCGTTCCCTGCTATCGAAGCTTTGCTCCACAACATTTTCCACAGCTTCTAGGTCGCCCATATCCAGGCGCTCTTCTTCATAGGTGCTTGGCCTCTCAGAGGTCCCCAAGCAGCTAACGGAAGTAATATGTTCCCAGCCAGAGAAGCTTTCCGTCGCTTCAACAAACTCCTCATGA